ATATTCAGGAAATCTTTTCAATTTAACCGGTGCCAAATGGAGGAATCTAAGAGTTAAACTAACACCAACGTTTACTTCTGGCAAAATGAAAAATATGTTTCCCTTAATGGTCGAATGTGGAAATCTTTTAAAAAATTACATGGAAGATCATATCGGACAAGAGAATTCATTTGAAGTTAAAGAAGTTTTATGTCGATTTACAACGGATATAATATCATCATGTGCTTTTGGAATAGAAAGCAATTCTTTAAAAAATCCAGACTCGGAATTTCGAAAATATGGGAAAAAATTTTTTACTTCTGACGGTTCTCGTAAATTTCTAATAGTTTTTTTTAACTTCTTGCCAAAATTATTTAATTTATTAAGAGTAAGGAATAATAATTATTCGTGTAGACAACTTTTTTTTTTTTTTTAAATCTCTTTTCAAAGCAAATTTAACAATAAAATAATAATAAATAAATTATAAAATTTCAGTTTCGAATAATTCAAAAAGATGTTTCTGATTTTTTTTTAAATGCCGTACAAGAAACCATAGAATACAGAGAAAAAAATAAAATAAAAAGAAATGATTTCTTACAACTTCTTATTCAATTAATTAATAATGGTAAATTGGATGATGTTGATAATAATAAGGAGGGGGGCGAAGACGTTAACGAAAAAAATATCCAGTCATCAGGTATCGTTTGTCAATATGTAAAAAAAAAATTTTTTTTTTTTTTTTTTCGTTTCGATCAATAAAAATAAATAATTTTAATCAATTTTTAGATGACATGAAATTCGGTCTTAACGAAGCAGCCGCACAAGCTTTTGTTTTCTTTTTGGCCGGTTTTGAAACATCATCGACAACAATGACTTTTGCTTTATACGAATTAGCTCGAAACGAAGACGTTCAAGAAAAATTAATCGATGAAATCGATAGAATATTAATAAAATATGATAATAAAATAACGTACGAAGGAATATCAGAAATGCATTATTTCGATTGGGTTATCCACGGTAAATTTTAAAAAAAAATTCCCCCCCTTCCCCCGTTTTTTCATGTTTTTATTCCTTGCGAAATATCATAAAATTAATTTTTTCTTTTTTTTCCCTCCCCCCCCCTCTTGTAGAAACACTAAGAAAATATCCACCGGTTCCAATATTGATTCGACTTTGTAATAAAGATTATAAAGTTCCCGATACTGATGTTGTCATTGAAAAAGGAACGACTGTTTTCATACCTGCTTACGGAATACAAAGAGATCCGAAGATTTATCCAGATCCAGAAAAATTTGATCCCATGAGACACGCTCCGGAGGAAAAATCTAAAAGAGAAAATATAAGTGCTT